GCACCGAGCGGCGGTTGCACTGCCGTGCCACTGCCTGCGAGTAGACAATAGACAGGAAGCCGTAGATATTTTTACCGAAAGGGGCTCGTATGCGACCGTGATGAGTGCTCAAAGTGCTAGTATCGTGAGATAACCAACCCAACGAAACGAGACGCAAACAAGTTATCCGCCACGCAATACCTAACAGACCTCAACACCAAAGACCCCAGGAACTACTGAGCGAACTCAGATATCTCCCCCAGAATCCAAGGCATCAAGGCCCATCATGATGGCGAAAGAAATGCTCCGGGCGAAGCGACGGCAAGGACAAGGAAAAGTACTTAGAACAAAGCGTGAAGAACCTATCCTCCTCGGCCGCATCGGCCTTCTTATATAGTGTTCTTCCCACCCGTAGTCATGTGACCCAAAGTGGTCACATGTGCGAACCCAAATCATAACAAACTAGTCATGTGACCAAGATGGTCACATGCTCAAAACCCATGACCTCATATCGAGGTCATGTGCAAAAACTCATAAACCAATCATAACACAATAAACAAATCATATGACTCTCCTGAGTCATATGCGTGAAACCCATGACCTCATAACAAGGTCATGTGCGAAACATAAATCATATATACAAGGTATACCTGCAAGGTACACTTGCAAGGCATACCCGTCAGGCGTACGTCCCATGACTCATATTTGAGCCATGTGCGAAAGCATCACAAATCCCACACATAACAAATCATAAACTCGAATGAGTCATATGTGTGAAACAATAACATACCTGTGACTCATAACTATGTGTCATGTGAAAACCTTTTTCTCGCCAAGCCACATTCCTGATACAGTAAGGAGAAGACTTGAAAAAAAGCATCTTAGAAAGTGGATAGTACAAGAGAGCATTCATTTGGATGTGGATCTAGCTTAGGAGAGATTGGAATGGGCATTAGCTCATAGGCATTGAAGGCAAAGGAGATGTGGAGAAGAAAGGCAATGTGGGGGGATGAGGTAGCTGTGGAAAGGGGAGAAGGAAAGAGGAGAAAATGAGTTTTCAGATACTTATATAAGAAATAGAATAAGGATTGTATTGAACCTAAGGCTAGGAGAGGGGAGAGAGGGATTAGCCAGATGATGACTGATTGTTTTTATAGTTAAACTCATGGTCTTTTTTTACCTGTTTTTCCTGATTCTTCTTCTGCTAGGGGTGGAGTTACTAGGAAGTCAATTATTGATGTTTATGATCATTATGACTTTCTAGGAATATGGAAGAATATCAGAGAAAAGGCTGAAGAAGAAGAGATATTTTTTATCATTGACAATTCTAAGACTCACTTGCCTTTTAGGAGATGGCTCAGAGGGCAGGGAATTACACTAATGGAAATTCCTGCCTATTTACCAGATCTCAATCCAATTGAAAATATTTAGTCTCTGGTGAAAGGTAAGCTTCAGAAGCACCACCCTGAGCTATATCTTATGAAGTGTGATGTCAATGTGGTCAAGAAGGCAATAGTAGAGGCCATCACTCATTGTTGGGAACTTCTTGACCCAAAGGTTTTTGATACTTTAGCTGGATCAATGGTGGATAGAATAGAGGCAATTATTAAGGCTGATGGATGGTATACCAAATATTAATTTCTACTATATATTTACATCTTTTAATTTTTTTTTTGGTTTTCATGATAGTGGATTGGTGGGTGAGTGTGGTTGTCATCACCAAAGATTTCCCTCTGTTGAATTGCGGTTAATTTTGTCCATGCACAATACAAAAGTACTTGTATCATGGACTAAGACAATAAGTGCTGTTGCAAAGATTGTACGCAGTAATATCTTATGATGAAAAGATTTTTTCCAAAAATATAACTAACCGGTACTGTACGAGTACTAGTACTACCGCGCTTAGAAAGAGCTTGACGCACATTCTCTTCCCTTCCATATAAGAGTGCTGTATCGGTATCGTAGAAATATGCGCCGGTTGGAATGGGATGGTAGGGGTGATTGAAAGTGAAAGTTGCGACATTATCCACCCCACCAACACACCCACACAAACTCGACTCGACTCAACTTAGACTACCGGTTGTTGTATGATATGATACTTGTAGAGGAAGGATCCTCGCCCATCCCGTCACGAACTACTCGTACTGTACCGTACACTTGAACAAGGAAAAAAAGACCAATGCCCAAAAACTACCGAGCCGGAAGGGCAAAATGAATGAATGAATGAATGAATAAATAGATGGAAAAAAAAAAAAACTTGGGGAAACACAAAACACGGGCGAAAAGCAAAAAGCACAAGCAAAAAAAAGCACAAGCGCAAGCACAAGCAACAAAAACGGTGGAAAAGGACTTATATATATCTGACATGTAAGTGAGATCGCCCCCTCCCTCCCTCCCCCTCGCTAGGAAGACCAACCTTGGAGGAGAAAAGAAAAGCGAAACAAGTTGGGGGATGTGGTAGGGATGGAGTGGGGAGAATGGAGGGAAACGTGAAAATCTTTTTTTTTTCTCTTCTCTCTCTTGACGAAGAAATTGTGGTGGTGGGGATTTACGATCGAGTGAACGGGCTTTTTTTTTCTTTTTTTTTTAGCTATGATATATTATTTACTTTTTGGGGGGTCAGCGAGCGGGAAGGGGGGTAATCCATGCCAAGCTTGTTGTTACTCCACTTCTAGCAAATGTGAGAAGAGAAAAAAGACGGGAGAAGGATGGAAGGAAAAGGATTTATTATTAGTCCCTTCTTTTCGTTTGTTCATCGAGGTATGATGGAAAGATAGAGAGGCTTGCGAATTGGACCTCGAGCAGCACTCAGACCGCCCGCCGAAAAGGACGAGAACGTGAGCCAAATATCACACTTGATACTTTTCGCACCAAACAGATGGAAATCCTTCGACTTCCTCTAGATCGAAAACCGCAAGTCCCCTTTTGTACCACCCAGAGCAAAAAGCGGAAGCCATCCAAAATGCCCCCCCACTTCATTCCTAACCTTACCGGTACTCGAGTAGAATACCTACCGTTACCGTAGCATACCGATATGATACAAGTATTGTACCCCCCCTCCTTCCCCGTGACCCTCACAACCGAAAAGGGTCAAAACCCTTCTATGATACAAAAAAAAAAAAAAAAAAAAAAAAAACTCAGGAACCCTGAACCCCCCCCCCTTCCTACCTGTACGAGTACGCACCAATAACTCGGTGCCGCCGCCATAAACAAAACAAAAAAATCCTTCACAGAAAAAAAATCCAACCACCCACCCCACCACCCCACTTCCAATTCAATCCAATCCAGATAAATTAGATAGATGAAGTGAAATGAAATAAAATACCGCAATCCCTACAACCCAAATAAACAAAGCCCCAACCTGTCAAATTCGAACTTGATGACTGAACTGCGCAAACGCCCGACCAGTCAGGAATGAGGTACGCGCATAACGCACACGCAATAATAAGTGGGCGGGCGAACCAAAGGGGGCGGCGGTTCTTGAGGAGGGAGAGAGAGAGAAGGGAAGAGGGTGAGAGAAGTGGGAGATGGAGAATTCGACCCGTCTCGAGCTGCGCAAGAGGGGGAGAGAGATAGAGAGGGTGTGGTTGCACAGTCATCCCCCCCTCTCCCTCTCTCTCTCCATTCCTTCTTACCCACCGCGCGAGTACTCGAGTACGGTGGTCCACAGTTTATCTATCATAACAGGGGGGCAAGGGTGAAATTGATCCTCTTCTTGAAAAAAACAAAAACAGAAACAAAAACAAACAAAATACAGGAATTGTATCACATCACCTTTTCACCCCCTAACCACGGCGGTCTGAACGAGACGAGACTAGACGAGGATTACTTGCAAGAACGTGCGCCTATCTATCGAGCTGTCATATTACGAAATCCAGCATAAGGGTGGGTGGTGGTGGTGGCTGGATTCACGGATGACGTTTTGTACTCGAGTAGGCGGAGTGCGTGAGCTATCGCGCTGCATAGTACTCGAGTATAGCTAGGGGGCTGGCTGTGAGGCTGAAGGATTAACCCCACTGGCTATCGTCCCCCGGGGCTGGCCAGTCTACTCGTAGTGAATGGGTGGGGAGCAGCGGGGTAATTCACCACCACTTTCTCCCGGGTCTCAATCTCATGCTATCATCTATCATCATAACTGTGCTGCGCATTCAGTGACAAGGTTGAAAAAGGCATAAAATAATCTTCACATTAACGATTAAACTGGGCTGCAGAACATTACATACCTACGGTACATACAATAAAACAGAGGAGTAGAATACATCTTGGAGATACTAATACTGACCAAAGAAATGAATCAAGCAGAGAGAGAAATCATTTCCACAGAAAAATAGAAAGTGGGGAAAGAGGGGTGAGGGGCTGAGGGGTGAGTTCTTTTTTGGACAAAAACAGACGCGTGGCATGAACAAATTTGCGTAGATAGATACTGTAGACAAAAAGACAAAGGAAATATAGGAAATATTATAGGAAATAATAATAAAAATATTACATTAGACTTTGGGACACAAGGAAATCGTTCCTACTCTTTCTCTCCCCCTCTCCCTCGTCTCGCCTCGACGACGATGACGATAATAGTAATAGCAGGGCTAGCCAGCCAGCCTGTGACAGTGATTTTGTTTTGCCATGTTGCAAATTCGTGTTCGTTTCCTACCACTGCACCTCCTTCCTTCCATCCTGCTCCCGCATCGCTGTAACAGTGTATCTGTATTGCATCGTGCAATTCCGAGTGTTTCCTACCACTGCATCCCCCATCCATCCATTCATTCCTTTCATATATCCCGCCCTCCCCGCCGAACCAACCAATCAAAGGCCAGCTAAAAGAAATAAAAAAGAAAAAGAAAAAAAGGGTATCTCAGAAATAACAAAATTCAAAACAATTCCACCCAAACCTGTAATTTTTTTTCCCAATCCATTCCCATATGCATGCTAGAGATTTTTTTTCAAGTGAACCCCAATATGCAGATGAATCCGAAGAAAGAAAAAAAATAAAAGATCCCAAAATGAAATAAAAATGATAAAACAAGAAACTTTTTCCCTAAATACTGTTGAAGAAAGAACCCGAAAACCCAGAACCCGACAGAATCGAGAAAAACAAAAACCCTGTACAACATGAATGGATCCGTGGAACAAGATATGAGAAACTAAAAGTACAGACCAATTGCTTTTGAAGGGAAAAATAAAAGATGCCATGCCCCTACCTAAACCGAAGGAGAATGAACAAGATTAAACCGATAACAAAAAAAAAAAAAAAAAAAACAGGGTATACAAAGACAAAAGGTAGAAGGGCAAAAAATTAATAAAAAATGAGTAGAGTAAAAGCGACAAGAATAATAGGGGGTATATCAAAAGGGAGATGGAAAAACGCCGAAATCTAAAAGGAATTCAAAGCCGCCCCGCCAAAACAAAAAACTTTTTGCGTTCCATTGTGGTCGTCCCCAACGAGAGAATAATCGAGAGAACGCCCGCCGAAACCCTTCTTCGGATTGGTTCGTACTGTCGTCCGTCCTAAGCATCTGGACGACGGAGGATATCCTCGCAGTTGACCTCAAAACGTTGGCACCACATGACCATACCCCGCATCAATCTCTCGGTGCGCTCCCACTCCTTGACGCCATTAAACATGGCATCGACAAACTCGGCTCCGGACTTCTTGCCCATCTGAACCGTCTTGCCTTCCTCTGGACGTGGCGAGGCGACTCCACGAGCCCCCCTCCACATGTACTCCTCACAAGCCTTGAGGAGATCCTTTAACTTAGACCAAAGCCTCTCGCCGCTCTCCATGAAATCATCCAAAATCTCGCGGTTCTCCTTCGCCTTAATCTGATGATAGAACTCTCTCGATCTCTTCAACTTGGAGCTCAACTCAATCAACAACCCCCAAAGTCCACCTGCAGTCTTGGTAGCATCGTGAGACCTTCCATGGTGGTATTTAGTCCAGTTGAAGATCCATTCGCCCAAAGAGCTGGCATCAAAGACGGACCCTAAAAGTATAACGGGCCTCTCATTGGGGTCCCAGTTTTTCAGGGAGTAGTCGGCCGGGATCCCGAGAGAGGCTGCCTTTCTACGAATCTCATCGGCATCGATGGCGGCAGGGTCAGTGTTTGACCTCGAGGGCATGGAAGGCTTGGTAGAGCGGGGAGAAGGCTCAGACCAAGTGGCCTCACGTCTGTGAGAGTGAACTCGTGACCTAGTTCGTTCACGAGGTGGGGGGGATTGAGGGCCAGGGGTAGGAGCAGGGAACTGTTCATGGTGAGAGTATGCATTAGTACCGGAATAAGTATTGTGATCATTCTTATATGAACGACTAGAATGACGGCTAGCTTCACGACGGGAGGTATTCCTATATCGACGAGACTCTTTACGGGGTGTGGAATCCTGAGAGCAGGAATGAGGATGAGGAGAAGGGTAATAGGAACGATAATAATGGGAGTAATGAAGAAATTCGGGGCGACTTACGTATTCGGGCTGCTGTTGCGTGAAGCCGCCTGGTACGTAAGAGTAGAGGTTGGGCATGTTGTGATGAGCGTGAGATGAGGGGGGAGGGGTGTGCACAGGGGTGTGCATGTACGGGGCGCCTCTGTATTGCACACCCGGACGGGGGGAAGCAGTGTTATACTGTTCATGAGAAAACTCAGCGTGCTCATGGCCAGATCGCCTGGAAGATGATGGCCGCTTGGCACTGCCATACTCGGAGGGACCCATGTATTCGGGATGCTGGGAACTCCTGCGTCTGCTCGAACCAGGGGTTCGTGGTGAGGCGGCCGGTGTCGGGATAGATGCACCAAAACCCTCTCGGTAGAAATTTGATCCCGAATGCATACCAGGTGGAGGGCTACTGTAACCGTATCCTGGCGGGTAGAATGGACTTGCGAAGGATGATTGCTCGAATTGTTGCATGCTGCTGTTCTCGTATCAACTTGTACAGTTGTTGTTCTTTTCTCGGTATATAACGTGGGATAAGCGATGGTAGAGGCGTCTTGAATGTTTCTTCAGGACGCTTTAGTCAGAGGGGGTAGGTGTTTGGATCTTTTCCCGTATCTCTAACATGTAAGTAAAGCAAGTAGTAGCAGCGATGGCTGGGAGGATATCAATTGTTTATAAGGAGGTTGAGGACTAAGCGATCCAACTTGGAAGCGAGGTCTCTCGGTTACGTGGATGTAGCGTGCAAAATGTCGCGAATAGCGAGCCTTGGGAATGCACGATGATGGAAGTTGTGAGTAACGGACTCGATGGGGGAGAAAGAGAGAAAAGAAGAAAGCGCGGGACTTCGGGGGGGTCGGTGGGTAATTATAAAGTAAAACTGCAGGCCGTCATCTCCAGGGAAAGAGGGTGTGATTGGGGGTCACGAAGAATTTGAAATCAGGTCAAGCCAATCACTCATTATTTCCTCCTCAAGAGAACAGGGAAGAGGAAGACCAGGGCCAGGACGCTCGAGTCTCACTGCCGCACACACACCAGAGAGGAGCAGCGACTCATACTCGAGTAGCAGGAAAAGCAAATCCCAGCACCCCCCGAGGGGCAAAATTTGCACAGACGCATACCCACTCACACGCCTTCCCACACAACCATGCCCATCACTGAGCGAGCACAGTGGACTCTTGCCCCCTTTCACACCTCCCCTGCAAGAGTACCATCCTAACTTACAATATCTCCTTGCCAGAGTAGGTGTGACTATGTACGAGTACTCGAGTACAAGTACTCAAGGGCCCACACACCGGTGGTGTGTGGGTGTATGAGGAATTTGGTCCCTGTATTGGTGTGTTGCTTTACGCTTTGATTCCGAATGTGCAATCTTCCTGCCAAAACAAGTCGGCGGAACGCTATGGATAAGGCAAGGAGCAAGGGAACACTCTCCCCCTCTCTACCCCTTCCTCATGTCCCTCGCTGTTTTCAATCCACCAGTGCCGGCCCAGGCACGGCGGAACGGTAGGTGATCTAGCATAGCTAAGGTACCCGTCCGGTAACATTACGGTACCGTATTCCATTGCGTCTGTCTGGTGCACAAAAAAAGAGGGGAGCGACGTCTCCTGCCCTGCTGCTCCTCTCTCCTTCATGCTCCCACCAAATGATACTTCAGCACTCGAATAACTCACATACCTAAAAATGGGCATATGCTACGCCCACCCGCAACTGACCAATACTCGAGTACACTTACTCGGTTTACAGCCGGGCAGCCTCCCTCGCCCACCACCTCACTGCCATACTTGCACAGTAAGAGACGAATAAAAATATCATCACAGTTCACGCTATGATTAGAAACCGCAATTTACCACGAGCAAAACTATCCGAGTGCTGTTTGTCAGCTCATCTTCACCTTCCTCCGCCCTTCCCTTCCCCAGCGGAGATTTTACGGCTTCGTTCATCCTATCGTATGGTTATTCCTTCGAATGGTGACAGCGTATCATACCATACCTATCCCACCCTAACCTACCAGGAAGGCCACATTGCATTTTTCAGCGGAAAGCTACTTTCCAGCTCTCGCCCCTTCCAGTTCCTACCGGTAAATTCTCTTTCTTTCATTCGCTGGCTCTCACACACTTTTTTTTCCTCCCCCTTTATTCCTCTCCGCCCGCCCCCCCCCCCGCTCCCTCTACACCCACACCCGCCGTTGCGATGCGCTTGGTGGACAGCTTTCTCAGCTGGATAGCCGCCCCTCCTGATTCTGATCTCGTTGACGCTCCGCTTGACTACACTATACCAGTAGCAGCCTTTCATGCCGATAACCGGCCCTCGCAAAAGGGAATAGACGGGATACGATAACCAATTCCCACGAGTACAATAATTCGTTCATCGAACCCAACTCAATTCAGCACTGCGGTCGTCGAGTGACCTTACTTACGGCACTCCACACGCAAACTCTCAAAACCCACTGGTTGGGATATTGTAAAATGAACTAATTTTAAATAGGTGCAAAATTTTGTCGCCAAGGATGACCCTCCAACCAACTCCCTTTTCTAGCGCGTTTCTCAAGGTTTCCCCTTCCTGTTCAAAGTGGGCATGGTCCAGTAACACAGCTCCCGCCATGCTTTGGGCGCAAAAAGAAGGGATCGGTAACCGTTGGGGAACCTCCGTGCGCTTATCACACTAGAGAGAGGAAAAAAGGGAAAAAAACCACTTCCCACTTGCTCGCCGCTCGCCCCTTTTCCAAACAGCCGGGTCCGGAAATGAATTCTCGGAGAAGAAAAGAAAAAAACAACCCGCTGAGACCTCATAAACGAGACCTTCCTTACAAGTGCCCACCTCCTCTTTCGTCATGCTGACTCCCAATGCTTTCTCTTCCCAACAATACTCGTACCGTTTCTTAAACTCCCACTTGTAACCTCACCAGAGTTACCGCACCCCATCCATTGCCTATTTGGCCCATCAGCAATCTGGAAAAAGGGAATTTTAACCCTTGTGAGCCGCACAAATTGCAAGCCCTGTTTGATATGTTTATATTTTCTTCTTCATCACACTCTCACAAAGTTTCCGAATCACACAAATCACCCACATATGCCTCCATCGAAGCGAAAAAAAGTCCGTGTGTACGCCAGGATGGAAGGAAGGAAAGGATGATACTGGTACGAATGGAAGGGGGTGGTGGTGTCCGAGTGACTGCTAAAAGACCACGGTGAAAATTTTTCCACTTTGTGTCCCACTTGAGTCATTTACTCATTTATTTCTATTTCGCTTTCTCTTGATTTTTTTTTCCCCTCCCATCTTCGAACTGAGTTCCATCGGGAGGTGTTGGGTGGATCGTGTAACCTATTATTACCCTTGTGTGAGACTGGGAAGAAAAAAGTCCTCTCTGCTTTGATCGCTTTGTGTAATTCATGGATACCGGCGTATTTTAGGATCGTATCAAAATGTCACAAAAAAAAGTTCAAGCATAATCTCTGTGGGCGTCTTTTATAATACTCGTATGAGAAATTTGAAATGCGCAACGACGTACTCCAATGATAACAATCAAAAAAAAAAAAAAAACCTTTTCATCACCATGACGACGAAAAAGTCTGCCTATACATCCATCTGTGGAAGGGGTGGTGATAATCGTCGGTAACGATAGCGGTAGTCTAGCTAGCTCACACAATTCAATTCATTGCCGCGGTTCCTTATCCAAAATCAGGACAACTCAGAAAGTTAGGCTAATCGTACTGTACTTGCTCGAGATACTTACGGTACGTATTTACTCGCACCATGGTCAACCAAGCTGTACGAGTACGGGGTCCATTTATTTATCGGTTGTATGGGAGATATTGGGCCATTTGTGCATGCAACCCATAGCTTCCGGATTCTGCCTACTTGAGTACATACGGGAAATCCACCTACCTGGGCTGATTGGTGCGCAAATTGTTTGGTACAGTACAACACCACCGAAAAGGCCCGCTGAGGTACTTTGTAACCGTGGATCGTACCGGTATTTCCATTCTGTCGGTTGGATGCTTCTGACAAAGGTATTATTATTTTCACTCGCGCTCTGCTAGTACTAGTACAGTACCGTCTCCTCCTCCACCTCTCTCCGACATCTGAGCCAGCTTAACCCACAATACTGTTGAACTGATTCCCTTCCATTCCACCCTTCTTTTCCTCCACTGACCGACCGACCGGACAGGTCACCATGTTACAGCCTCAAACAGCTAAACCCAAACCCTCACTCACCCAGAACCCTAACTTATTCCCTATTCCAGAGCACTGCAACCGAGTGCTGAGGACTTCCTTGCATTCCTCTAGAGGCACCTCTGAGCGCTCGAGTTCGATGCATACTTGCCTTTGCATAATTACCTTGCAGGTGGAACAGCGTATCAAAGTTTCCTCCTGCCATCCTCGATGGTATCCGTGCGCGCCCGTAGGTCAATGGGTACAGTATGGGACTGTTGCATCATGGGTGTATCTGTAGAGTAGACAGGTTAACCCACCTCCTGCTCTTGAGCGCTCGATATAAAGTACCGACCGGTACAAGGAATGCATTGGTACTGCAGGCAGGGAGGTATGTAGGTCACAATCAATTGGCCTGAGGAGAGATAAAGGGGGGGGGTGTTGCTGCACCTTCAAGAATTACATGTGCGACAGACAGAGAAAGTGGAGGTCTTTTTCCCTCTTTCTTCTCCCACCCTCACGTTTTTGCCATTTCACGGGCAACGAGACTGAGTATCATCCGGTAACTCGTACTTTGCTGAAAAAAAGAGATCGACATGTTTGCCTGTTCGTCCTTTGTTACGGCAATAAGGTGAGAAGGCATCTATCCATTCATTCTGACCCCCGCGACACTGATACGAGCACCCTGCACACTAGGGCATTTGCTGGCTGGCTTGCTTACATTTACGCTGGTTTGTTCGTGTCCTTTCCTTCCTCTCGTTCGTGTTTTTCCCATCCCATCCATCTATCTCTAAAATATTTGCCCTCCCCCCGCAAAAGGTCCAGTTCTTTTCACTGTGGTATGATACTGTATAAAAATTTTTTCCTTCCCTTACAAAAATTTTCAGGTGAAGAAAGGGCAGAGATATCTTATCGGAGGCTGTGGGTTAGCTGATACGTATACATCATAGTGCATAATTTTTGTGCGTTGTTCTGTGGGTACACCTTTTGGATATGATGCACAACTGTTGTACCCACCAGTAATGAGGGTTTTTCTCAAAAAAATGAAAAATCCGGTACCAGGGCACACTGCTTTCACAGGGAGCGTAGCTTATTCAATTCTGTGGAGTGTGGGGGAGAGGGGTCCTGTCCCGCCCTGCAACTCTATTGGCTCGCGTGAGGAGTGGCGCCGTAGGTTTGAACTCTGACGTGGTTGATCCGCACGAATATCTTGGGTTGTCATTTTTTTCATTTTCATTTTCCTTTCTTTTTATTTTATTCGCTTTGCCTTCTTCAATTCCTGTTTTTTTTTTTTTTTTTGGTCCTATCAATTGAGTGGATCTCATGTAGGGAAACGCGATGATGGAGGCTTTTGCGATGGTGAGGCTTTTGCGATGAAGGAGGGGGGGGGCTTGTGGATCCTATGAAAGCCGATGTTTATTGTGACAGGCGAACAACATTTGGATGATTTGGATGAGGGGCGCGGAAGGCATATCGTAAATCATCACATCTTCTGGAAAATTTCGTGAATCGAGTGATGGAAGAGGAGGTTGGATTTACCTTTCTCCCCTCCTCCCTCTTTTTTTTTTTTTTTTTTTCAGCCTTCTTTTTCTTGACCCCGCTCTCAAACCGTTGCACTGTGCTTGGGTGGTTGGTGATTCCACGTGATTTCAAAAGCTTATCCTCTGTGGAGGCGGGATTGTGGCTTGAGTCACCTCAGTTAGTTACCCGGACAACATTACAACAACTGGATAAGGAAAAGCGCCATCCCTTGATTCCCCCCAGCCGCCTACCTCCCGAAACCCCAACCATCCCTTCCTTTCTTCTCTTTCCGCCTTTACCCTGCTTCCTCCATTGCCTTCAACACCATCCCGCGAAACTTGTATTTTTTTTTTTTCATCTCCATCCATACATTACTGACGAGTATAGTTGCTTGCTTGCTTGCACACCCTACGTACATCAACAAACGAGGCTGTGTTATATAGCGTGAGTCACAGCAAGGCGACACGCGTTTGGGTCTTTTCCACCGCCTTTCTCTTTGTCCTCTTGTCCACCCGGTCTCAAGTCTGCCCATTGATGTGCCTCCGGTGGCCTTCCGCCGTATTCCAACGCGGGTTCGGTGCCATTGGGTTCGTCCCCCTCCGCCCGTGTATTTCGGACGGCGAGATTGGGTTGCGGTGGCAAACACTTACGTATCTACTACGGGGAAGGAGGATGGGTTGTTCCGAGAGGCTATTTTGCACTATACGGACAGCTCTCCATTCCGTTTCGGCTGCTCCGTTCGATTTCCTGGATTCGGCTCCGTGGTCTCCGCCGTGGTGCCTTTTGCCCCCCCCCTAATCATATAAGACCGTGCGCGAGTCTAATACGTTCGGTTTCGTTTAAAGTTACAACACGGGGAGCTAGTTTTCTCGCTCGCCCATCTCGTTGACTCATTCACAGGCGTCTTTTTTTTTTTTGTTTGGCGGTTGGTCCACCTTCTTCCATCTCTTTAACCGACATTCGGGAAGTTTATTTCATGTGATGTGTTTGAACTTTTCCCCTCGTCTTCGTTATTGGGGAGCACAACACGGACCCATGGATGGATGCCAGATTGGATAGATGAGCGGGCGATGGAGTATATTTTCGGATGGACTCAGCCTCACCTGGAATTTATTTACAGTTACGACTCATCAGGTACGCCATGCCAGCACTTTTATCCGTTGGGATTTCATCGTCGGGATGTCGACTTTACGGCTTCCTGCAGGATGGTTGGAGGACAGAGATGTTTTCTTTCGGAGCTATTTCCAAAGGTTGTCCTGGCTCCCTGAGTCATTGATCTGCTGATAGGGCGCTCAAAGGCTCTTGATACAATTTAGTGGAAGCAGGAAAGGGCCTTTTGTGGGTCATGACCTGTGACCGCGATACACACTTTACTCTCACCCCCCCTTCTTTCTTTCTTTCTCTCCTTCTCAGGAGCACCCCGATGACGTCGAGTTTGGGGGGAAAATGCCAACTTCTAGAATTCAGAAGACCCCTGATTTAGGCTGTATCCCGGAGGACAGCCCTATTTCGTGGGAGGACCCTTTTGTTTCTTTGCATCTGTATCCGCTTTTTTCGATCAGATCGGCCTTTTTCTATCAATCACAACCTCACCGAAAACGCTTTTATAAATAATTGCCCTGCCGCATGTAACATTTCCTCCCTCCTGGGGTGGTGGGTTGGGCTTAAGGACATCTTTGCTATCTTTGGCGCCCGTGCTCCTCCGCCCCTTTCCATTTCGCCTTGAGGGAAAAATGTTTGGACGGTCAAACTTTCTGTTTTTTTTCTTTTTCTTGTTTATATTGAAAACATTTATAGTTATCGGGCGCCTATTACTGTACCATAGTCAACTTGTGTAACCATGTAAGTCGGTCGGGATAATACTGCATGACGGTTTTTCATGAGTCAGGGGAATGAACACAGGTGCCGGTAGTGTATCAAGGGAGAGCCTTTACAGGTGCTCGCGGAACGCTGGGATGGATCATGGATCATGCAAATAGACAGGAGAAATCTCCACCGCGCGATGTGATAAAACAGCGAACATCCCAGCCAGCCCCGATACCGGTAAGCAAATCAGGGATTCGAAACGTGTGCATAAGGCCCGCCCGTTCATACATACGTACCGGCGGCCCTTGTACATAACCGAGAAATGGTGGGAAGTCACGAGCAGAGAGGAGGGGGGGTATTCGCACTCTTCTTACCCATACTACACCTCTGCTGAGTGTGCGGTATTGCATGATGTATGGTGTATGAAGGAATCATTAGGAATCACTCGAAATTGAAGTTGTTTCCCGCGTCAGGACTTTTTTTTTTTCTTCTCTCGTAAACAGGAGGAGCAATATTAAAGCCGATATCATCGCCCCACCAGCCAGCGCGGCATCCAAAAGTGCTAGTATGTGCGGCACCACTCTGTGCGTGAGAAGAAGCACGCGTACGAACAAAAGGATCAGGGACAATAAACACTAACGCACACACTCCCAAACACACAAACCCGCTCTCTTCGCTGCACACTACTGACTCCACCACTTTCACACATAATAGCGGAGGAGGAGGAAGAGGACACGCTTCACATCATACTTCGATTCGCTTTCATTCAGCCTTGTATGTATGATATGCACTTAACATTTCTCCTCCTTCCCCTTGGGCTAACTCGAAAGAAAGTAAAAAGTAAAAAAGTACCATACAGTAGGTCTTCCCCCCCCCCCCACCCCAGGGCCTAAGGTTCACACAACATCAAATGAAAGGGCTAAGTTAAGTGGGCGAGGGAGGGGAAAAGAAGGTTATCCACCGTGTATCGTTAATGCCTTGCTCATGGTGCGATGCTTGCTTATCATACTTGCTTGCTTGCGCGTGCGTCCAAGGCTGGGGTCACGAAAAGGAAATTAAATTAATATTTGGTTTCGATGATTTGACGCCTAGTGAGGCGAGTGATTATTTGTGAGGTCTGGTTTTTCAATCTAAGCCTTGCGTGCTGGGCTATGGGGGGGAATTTTTTTTTGAGGGGGGGAATCACGTGGGTGGGGTGGGAATCTGTGGTTTCTTTTCTTTTCTTTCTTTTTTTTTTTAGGATAGTTACCCTGCTTTTTGGCTCTCGGTCTTTATTATCAATGGCGTGGGAATGAGCCCTTGCGACGTGCGGGTCTGGGGTAATAAGGCTGCTTCACTTGCTTGCTGTGAATGTTTTGTATCATATCAAGGTTTTATTTATTTACCTTGCTGTGCCTTATCATATATCATATCATATCATATCCCCCCGACCGACCGACTGACCGACCGACCGACCAAACTACCGGTTCCATTACTGTGACCCCTCCAGAGCTTATCACATCCAGCCCGGCTTTCGGCCATCGCAAGGGAAACTGAAGACATGTTTGCGTTGGAAATGACAGCGGACCTAACCGGGTATGATATACATCCCCACCACCCCACCCACTTATCATCATGCCGCGAACTAACCGGCCGGTGAAAACCAGGGTAACGAACCTCCGCCCGGTGGACACCCCGGAAAGTCCATACTACTACTCCTTCCGCGTGCAATGTACGTCTTGTCGCGAAGTGCACGACAAGTGGGTTGATTTTGACCGCTTCGTATTCCTCCCCTCCCCCTTAGCTAGCTAGCTAGCTAGCTAACTAACGGCATAGACGACAAGAGACCTCTCCAAAAGCCGCGGCGAAGCTAATTTTGTTTATAAATGCCGGAATTGCACTGTTTATCCCCCCCCCCTTTCCTTCCTTCTTTCCTTCCTTCCTCTCCCTCGCGTGCTAATGTTTAATTTTAGCGCGAATCGAGTGCCACAATCAAGACCGCGCCGAAAGCGTACGTGGCCGCTTCCCCGCCGACGAAGCAGGTCATTGTCGAGTTTGAGTGTCGGGGGTGCGAACTTACGGAGTTTAGGGTTTCGGCCGAGTGGGTTGCCGACGGGGTTAGCGGGATTGTGTTTGAGGGGGTGGATCTGGCCGAGGATTGGTATGATTATGATGAGAAGGCGGGCGAGGAGGTTTCGGTTAAGGAGGTTGGGTGGGTTATTCGGAGGGCTTAGTGAGGGTTTTATATTCTGTGGAATGTGTTTTTCGTTTTTGGTGGTGGCGGGTTGGAGGTCACGGGGGTTTAGGTTTGAGATTGTGTCATCTGGTGTCACTCGTGGTTTACGGGCTTTGGGGAGGGGACGGCTGAAGGAGTGGTTCAGCCTGGTGGAAAGGCACATTTATTAGAGAGGTATCTGCGGACTTTACTGTGGGGAAACACTGTTACGTCCCCAAGGTGTAAAGACACCTTGTGCAGGCTACGCAAGATATGCACCGCAGCGCGTGTTAGTAACACCGCCTGACCCTAACCTGATCACTCGGATTGAAGCACGCTTTGCGTTCCATCCGCCTCCAAACTCAAACCCACTAGCAGAGCATTGACCTCACTCCCTACAATGCGCTCTCTAGACCATGCATCACCAACCACACACCAATCCGATCCCAGACCAGACCAGACCAGACCCAGAGACTCGTGCCTTGTCCTCAAGTCTCGTAATATCAGCCCAATCGCCCGGAAAGTTGGAAACCAATTGTCCATTAACACCGTAGAGGCTCCAACGACAGACCACCTCATCACGGATACTTAAGTCGATGGTCCAGGAAATGTTCTTTTTCCTCTTCCCAGGGGCGGCAGCGGGGAGTGGAGTAGAAAGAAACAAGAAGAGGTAGAGTTCGGATTTGCATATAGCTGCACAATTCCGTCCCGGGTCGCGAGCCTACTGTGGGTTGGTGGAGATTTCTGTTGCTTTCGCCTGGCTAATGGAAGGGTCAAGCTATCCGTGGGAATATTTGCGCGTGCTGGTCAAGTGCTCCCGGGCGGCAAGTGTAAAGGGGAAAACAGACATGGTAGAGAAAGGGGAGAGGGAAGGAAGGAAAGAAAGCAATCAATTGTCGTCAGGTCGTATTCTCAAAAGTGTTTCGCGGTCGTGCCTGCTTTCGTCTTCGATGTCTCCCCGTCTTCTCTCGCCGGGCGGCACCATCACTGACTACGAGGAAGGAAGGAAGGAGGGAAAGGAGGGGGAGAAGGGGCTGCTTATCATACATCTCCAGGACAGTCGTCTCCACAAATACTTTGCGGAACTGTCACCTCTACTGATCCTGTGAAAACCGACAAAGACCGGCTGAGCCTAGGGCACGAGTGAGAGCATTGCGCAGAAGGATATAGCCATATTTCCGTCCCATAGCAGCAGCCTAAATTGCCCACCGTGCAAAGCGAATAAGAGCAAAAGTAGATTATCGCAGGCAGTGAGCATGCCATGGCCCAAAGGTCGGATGTGTGTTGCTGGGGCGAGCTTTCCAACTTTGTATACCCACGCCTATTCGATAGGATCTACCAAAAGATTGTGAGGAAGGGTGGCTTCTTGTATGTTTGGAATCGTGCCGTCCGATGTTGGTTGTGGGATGTTTGGTGGATATGTGAACTTCATCTCTGCAAGATCGTCATCCGAGACGCTGGATTGGAATTGTGTTCTTGGCGTCATGGCCAAAGTGTCGCTTTTCTGGCTCTACTCTCTCGTTTCTTCTTCTTTTGTGCTGTGGTGGATGCTGTGCTGTGCTCGAGGTTTGGATTTTCAACCTTTTCTGTTCGGGCCATGTGTTAGCCATCTACACCTTATATTTTGCGCGGGGCGGTCATTTCTTTCTTTCTTTCTTTCTTTCTTTCTTTCTTTCTTTCTTTCTTTCTTTCTTTCCTTTTTTTCCCGTCTTCAGCTGTGGTTTTCGGTTCCTAACTTTGGATGCTAGCACAAAATTTAGTAGTCCCGTATGACAGCGGGCGAGAGGTACTTGTACCGGAGAATAAGGGGTCGGGGGTTTGTATGAGGGCTCGGATACCAATGGATTTTTTGGCATACAAGTACTGTACTGTACAGTACAGTACATTTTGCCACCCCCTAGCATCGACTACTGCTTGCGCGCTACAGCTGGCAGTCTTCACTGAGCCTGCGACAAAACTGGGGGCGATGAGCAGGGATCAGTTGCGAGTAGTGTTGTGATACCGGTGATTTTTTGTTACCCTACTTTGATATTTCCCTCTTTGCTGACCGGATACCCCTCCCTGTTCCTCACGCCCAGTTTCCTTGTGGGCATTGTCAGGGGTGTGAATGGACTCGCCATGGGGAATGTGGACAGTGTGATTGTTTACTCATCATGGATATTCTGTGCTTAAAAGGGCTGTAGGATTCGTCGTGGAAAATGAGGGGAAGAGAGGAGAACCTTGGAGACTGAGAGCGAGAGCGAACGTTGGACGTTGGTTTTTCTGCTGTCAACATCATTGGTTCTTTTTCATCTGGGCTTCCACTCTCTTTGCAGATGGGCCGGGAATCCTAACAAGCACTCTCTCGTCGGGGCCACATTGCTGTCGGCTGTTGAGGATCTTTGCGGTAAGACATCAAATGTGCCAGCGGAAACACGAAGAAAAACCCCTGTGCCAAGATCCCGCTAAAGAAGGCCAGATCCGGAGAGGATCGAACAGACGGTGAAGACTGTACTACTCGTACTATACTCGTAGTACTCGTACTATACTCGTAGTACTCGGGTGCGAGTAGGCCAGTCTCGGCTCATTCCTGGACGTCTGTCACCGAACAGGCAAGTTGGGTTGGTGGGAATTGCGTTATAATAGGCAGGAAGTTCTCGTACAGTGCTCAAGTACTAGTACCCGGAGGTAGGGAGAGGGGCGTAAGGTAGGATGTAAAGTTACTCTAGTACAGTACTAGTCCGGTACTCAAGTACCGTATTGTGTATAGGTATAGACCTTTTGGTACAAGATGTGCACCCCCCTTCGAGTTCTCGGGTGTCGATACTTGTCCCAGGCCAGAGGCCCCCGGTGATAGGGATTGTCGAAATATGTTGTAAAAAAATCTGCGCGTATCTGAGCGCCGATACCAAGTATCCACTTCTGGCCTGGGACGGGTGCCGTTCAGTACTTCCTTGTACAGGCACGGGAGGCGACGAAGATGTATCATACCTAAACTCTATTGCGGGTTGGGGGTTGCGTGGGTGCAGGGGATAGATATGAGTACCGGTGATAGGTTAAGGTTGGGTTCTGTAAGTTTGTCTTTTCAGGTGTGTTCCTGTGTCCTACGGTAGCTTTTGAGGGTATTATATGATTGACAAGTATGATGCTGCTTGTAATATGTACACTATCGTAGGAGTTGAAGGACGTACCCCCTCTCTCCCTCCTCTTGATCCCTCTCAAGGCCAAGTTATCTATCTACTATGGCCGGAGACCATAAAAGGCTATCTAGGCTGATACACAAGCCACCGAGAATGAGAATGCGAGCCCAACGGTTGTTATTTTTACCGAGAGTACGAGTACAATAGGAGAGGCTCGACAGTCGCACAATACTCTGATCCCAGTCTTCCTTCCCGTTTAGAGGGGGGCCGGGCATCGTCCAATTGTCTTGCCTTGCCACCATGTTCCGTTCAAAAGTACTGGTAGGAGCGTCTCTGGATATTTTTACTCTTTTCCTGTGCCACGGTGGCCCCGGCTGCTGCAGGACGAGGAGTTGCCCCCCCGAGGCTTCAATGGTTCATTCACGTCGGGAGCGCGGAACGGTAATTTCCGGAAAATAGTAATCCCGGTCATCGGTTTTGGCGGTTGTCGTACCGGTACATAATATTTTCTTCTCGTGGCGGGTTTGAGCTGGCGAATCTTTGCGATATGGTGAGTTGGATTTCTCACACATTTGGTGCGGTTTGATGGGGTAGAAAGTTGTGAAGGGTTCATGTAATTTGTTCTCCTTGCGGTCAACAGGCTTAGCTGCACAATAGGAACGGTTGTTCATTGGAGATGCCGGCGGACGAGCCCACTGTAGTATGGTATCCGGGTGCGGTACTGTACTGTACTGCACAGCACACTACAGCGCCAAAGCTGGCTGATAATTGACCGTCGGAGGAGTTTACTTAGAGCCAGCTTTATCGACTCTACCGTATTTGAGTGCCACCCGTGCTGTAGTACTCGTACTGTTGTAGTACTGTACTGTGCTGCGCTCCGCTCTCTTGCGCGCGCACTGGCATTTGCGCGAACGGATATCCTCAGCTTTGCACTGCGGGTAGTGCCGGTGTGGGCGTCCAGGATGCTAGGCGGAACAAGCTGCGGGTAACTCAAAGTGAATTTTTTTCTTCCTTCTGCCGCTCTGATTGGAGGGCCTGATATCCCGAATGGGGGATGGTATGGCTGGGTGACAGGTCGTGTCTTGATTTTAACTTGAGCTTTTTCCCCTACTGTACTAGTACAAAGGGCAGAACACGCGACGCCGATCGCTCTAGGGCATCGCTGAATCTTATTTCGTCCTCATCCGCCGTTTCTTGGAGTCCTTTTTCCTGGATTGCTCCCCCGTATGGGAAATCAGAATTACTGTACGTACGAGTACAAGTACAGTACTCCTCTCATACCCATTATTTCCTGCTTATTGTTGTTGTGATTGCAAATTTTTTTATTTTCGTTGCCCGCAGCTTCCTGTCACGAGCGAGGTGGGTTCGCGTGTGCCTGCATTGTCGCGCGAATTGGCCACAATGGTTTGTGATGGCCTTCTCGCGTTGTACAATACCGGCCCTTGCATATACTGTACTGTACTGTACTGTACATGCTGTGCTACTTGTATGTTGTTGCTGGTTGTCCATAAGGCTCATTTCGCACGTGTGCTTCCCTTATCAGGACCTGGCACAGTGCCGGCGCGTCCAGCGTCCACCAACAACCATTCAGCCTACCCAATGCTCTCTCTCTGCTGGGAAAAACTGGGGAAACTCTGGAGTGAAACTCTCTTCGGCAAAATAGTCTACTGGACCCACTCGAATACCGTGGCTCGCGGGTTGGGAAGGGTATGAGCTCTTGTAAAGTTACTACTTGTAGGAAGTTGGCCACCAGCCGATGAATAGGTGTTTCATCTCGTCCGTCACGAGGTTTGGCTTGACTCTCGGGAGCCGATTAGGCGTTGGACGTGCGGAATTTAGCTATAGCAAGGGCAAAAGTCGATTTCTGCGCTGGGGCCATTTCGCTTCTGATGTGTTTCCAAGTCCCAATTGAGGTTGGCCAATGTCGCACACGTTCCCGGGCTGCCAACATATCAAAGGCTTTCAGCTGATATGGGCATTGACTGGATATTCCCGCTTTGGAGGTAGCGATGGACCGCACCATCTGGTCTGGCTCTAGCCTTTTCCTCTCCCTTTGTTATCACCAGAGTGTTTCTCTCCTCTGGCTGTGGCGTTTTCGGGTTACCAAAGTATCACTATTTGGGAAAGCAGCGCCAAAACGGGAGTGCCCAAGGTGAAGCCCTGCGGATTGCCACTCAATGCGAGCTCCATGAGAGAATTGGCTGGGGAGAAGGAAACAGAATAAATAAAATCCCATTAATATATAACCTAAAGCCAAAGGCCGGACTTGGAAGCTCTTTCATGCGTTGATCCTTCCTTCTCACCCGTGCTTGCAGTCTTCAATTCCAAAGATCAATAGCTTTCCACGCCTTGATTCAAACTGCATATTCAGGGACCCGAAGCTTGCCGTGGCATATTCCCCTCCCATTCTTTGTTCCTCATACATCCAGCAACGGGTATCAACATAGGGAAATTGGGAGAGAGAGAGGAAGGCCGGGACGAGATGAAAACGATGTTGGGGTCCCAGCGGACCAGAAGAAGCGACTGGCCGCTGCTCCTTGTCCTTTTCATGTTTGTGTCTCTTTGCGTTGGCGCTCCGACAGACAGTATCCGCGATGCAGATCAGGCACAATCCGGCTATCTGGATAATCATAACATGGATCCAGCAATTGTGCAGGGTGCGACATTTGGTAAGGTTTTCCTCCTTCCGGGAAACAGTTCCCCTAGGTGTACGGGAAATTTGAATGCTTTTTCGGGAATTATTTTCTGACATGTTTGAACGTACTAGGTCAACTTTGGCGTGTCAAGATGGGAGGGGAGGTAGGAGGGTTAAATGAGCAGTATGCCAGTGCCTGATCAACAAACTTTCAATTTGTTTGGGCTAAATTAACATTAGACGTTTCAAAAAGGTTCTATGCAAAACCCCTGGTTTATACTCCTAAAGCGGCGGGCAGTAAGCAGGTCCTTTTTGTTGCTTCAGGTAATTATGCGATCCGGCGGGAGAGAAAGGAGATCCGATAAACAGACTGGCAGTTGCTAACTAATTTCTTAGAAACGAATTGGGTTTATGCTATGGACGCTGTATGATCGCCCCTAGGAACTTGTTTTGGCAAAGTTCACAGTGAAGAGATGATTTTTCACATATCGCGTGGAGCAAATCTTGGGTCTAAAGAATCCTGTTAACTAACACGTGATACAGGTCACCGGGGTGACCCTGAGATCAAAGCAGGTCGCAACCCCATTCCTGGTCTCGGACATTGGATGCAACGATATTAGCGGCTTTAGTAAGCTCCCAAGAATCCGTTCCGGCCCTTTCTTTGGGTTTCCACGGGTACCTGTAGATGATTGAGGTGTTATTGTGTGCTAACGATGGTTTAGTCGGTATTACTGGGACTCCGGCCATTGATCCTGCAACTGACACTGTTTACTTCTACGCAAAGTCGTATCCTGGAGCCGAGAGGGGGGTGTATAATGGCACATATTGGATCCATGCGTTGGATATTAATAATTTGAAGTGAGTGATCTCTTGTGTTTCTGTCTTTGGACGGGCCGGTTAACCGTGGGTCTCGTTTACAGTGACCGACCGGGATTCCCGAAGAAGATTGACGGATCGGTTGCCGACAATGACCCAACTCGCTACTTCCATGGGGGGACTCACCTTCAGCGGACGTCGTTGAGTATAATTAATAGCATAGTGTACGCTGGGTTCGGCGGACATTGTGACAAATACAACTTTACCGGATGGGTTGTGGGAGTGGATAAGACTACGGCAGAAGTAAAGGCGACTTTTGCTACGGAATATGGAGCATTCGCGCCCCAGCAAGATGGGACATTTGAGGGAGGTGGAGGTGGAGCTGGTATCTGGATGAGCGGAATGTCTATTTCTTCGGACTCGTCTAATCGTCTGTTCTACGTGACTGGGAATGGGGAAGGACATCAAAATAAGGAAATCCCTGCCTCTGGGAGAACCCCTCTGGATACATTGGATGAAGCGATTGTAAATATGAGGATCGATCCGGCGACGGGGAAACTTTCGTTACAGGATTATTTCGAGCCGTATGAATACATTGTGAGTACACCTGTGGCACAGAGTGATGGGTTGAGAATACTGACGACGGCTAGTCAATGGATGCTGGGGATCGTGATTTGGGGAGTGGGGGCATAGCATTGCTAGATCCAAATAGTGAGCGTTTGGTTCGACTAACTCTTGTAGAAATATTCACTGACTGCGTATAGCCTTCTCCGGAACAAACGCTGCTCGGTTGGGTGTCACCGTGGGTAAAAATGGTAAAGCATATATCGTCAATCTGGATAATCTCGGAGGATTTAAAATGGGCCCCGCAGGCTCAGACGCAGTGGTCCAGACTTTACAGATGCCTGGAGGAGGATCTGTATTTGGAGGGGCTGGTTCTTATCCTCTTGAGGGTGGATACATTTATATGACACCCGTTAGAACTTCCTTATCTGATGGGGGTAATTTTGAGTGCTGGCTGATGGAAAACAGGTTGGATATCCAACGCTCGTTTATAAATTTGGGAAAGATGCCAACGGGAGGGCTGCATTTACCCAAGTGGCTCAGACTGATGAGAGCAGTGCCGGGCGGGTTGGTGTTGGTGTCCCTACCATCACCACCTTCAAGGGACAGGCAGGAACGGCCATCTTGTGGATTGCCGATGTTGATGGTGGATTGAGAGCCTATAGAGCGGTCCCGGAGAGTATGCTTCTCGATGTGTGGTTTGTATAACTTGGAGGTTAACTTCGCTTTAAGATGGCAAGATGATCCGGATTCAGCTTCCTCCTACACCATCGGTTTCGAAATTTCAGAGGCCCTCGTTTGGTGATGGGAGGTTGTACCTTTCTACCTCTAATGGCTACATTCAGTGTCTTGGTGCCAATACACATGGATCAAGGCGGGATTCTCTTTTGCTAATAATTGGTCCAAGGGTCTCCGGTCGCACTGCCATTGAATAGTACGGGTCCGATATCGTTTGGGGATTTGACTATCGGGAGCAAGAGAGTATTGCAAGTTAATTGCACTGCACTCATCGCGATTACAAAAATTGACGGGGTAACCTTGAGTAATCCGTTGTTCACGGCCTCAAACTCGTCGCTACCAACAGGGGCACTCGTAAAAGGGCAGTCGTTTAGTTTTCCCGTTACTTTTGATCTCACCAATGCCACTATCAAAGACATACCTGGGACTTCCGTCCCTAGTGTGAAGCCTGGCATTACTTCGGGCGCTTTGAATATCATGACGGTATGTGTGGCGGCGTTCCTTATACGCCGTTGCTAATACAAATGATAGACTAATGGAGTCGACAAATTTGCAAATCTCCAACCTATTGTGGTATCAGGAAACCTCGCTTCAGCGCTTCCTTTCTTGGCAATAAGCCCGGTGGAGGCAGACTTTGGCGGAATAGTCATTGGCTCAGCCGCGGCGGAGGCCGGCGTTCCGGGCAGTATGGTGGTACAGAATGTTGGGTCGACGGATATGCATATTACAGGATATGGTTGGACTATTGAGAGCTTGGAGGGTGGGAATCCGAATTGGGTCAATGTCACGGAAAACGGTTCAGCGAACCATACTGTTGGGCCGGGTTTTTACGCTGTGGATTTGCCCGCGGTCGGCAGTACAGTCGGTCCAGGGCAATCAATTACTGTTAATTTGAACTTTAAGCCATATGCGGTTGGAAATTATCACTCGGTGTTCCAGATTTGGAGTGATGGCGGTGCTCAATACATTTTACTCACTGGGTAAGGTGATCCTTTTTTTTGGGGGGGGAGGGATATTTGCTAATCGATAATAGTGTCGCAACCTTTGAACCTAAAGCCGTTCTCGAGGTCTCAACTGCGGAGGGTGGATGGAGTACTGGAGATTTGATTGACTTTGGCCCTCAATTGGCAGGTGTTTCGTTGATTCGGCAGATCCGCCTTAGGAATACTGGTGGTAGCGCTCTGACGATTACCAAGAGTAAGGTATGTTTGCCCTTGTCTGGGTAACCTCTGCACTGCCACTGCTGACGTCAGTGTTTAGCCTCCAGAGGGCGCGGAATTGACAGCGACAAATCCTACGGGCGAGTTATCCGAAGGACTTAAAATTCCGCCCGAGGGCTCTGCCGTTGGGAATGTACTTTTCCAATAAGCCGTTCGTCCTGTAAACCTGGGGCCCAAGTCGATCAATGGGAGCTGGACACTAAACACCGATGACCTGACATTTGGAGTTCACAATGTGTTGGTACAAGGGGTTATTCTATCACGCCAATTAGGCCCATTGCTCCTAGATGGTACGAGCAGGTACAAATATCTTGGGTGCTACAAAGACGCTGTTGCAGGGCGTTTGCTGGATAAGAACAACAACTTGAAGCTGAACAACGAAAACGGTATTTGTCAGCAGACATGCTTAGGGCAAGGGTATATCTTTGCCGGAACAGATGAGTGTGGTTATTCCCGTGGCACTGCAATGAAACTGACAATGAGTACAGTATCACCAGGAATGCTGGTGTGGAAATAGAGTACCGAACAAGATATATTTGTACGAGGAGAGCGCTAACAAGTGCACTTGGACTTGTACTGCGGATAAAAGCCAGGCGTGTGGAGGTGATGGGGCGTTCATAAATAGTAGGCTAACTTGTTTGGGCCTGATTGGTGCGGGGAGGGTGGCTGATATGGTGATCTTTTAGTCTATTATGATAGTCTTCGGTTCAACGGGGTTGCTACTACTTTAACCACGACGACGGCGAAGTCGACCACCACTACTAACAGCACGTCGACAAGTACTTCAGGTGTTACTACGACTACATCTTTGTCGTCCTCTAATATCACTTCGTCGACCTTGTCGTCGTCTGGTACTACGGCATCGTCTACTACCACTACCACTACCACCAATTCCAACTCGACATCAACCACAGTCACCGACAGCATTACCACGGACCCCACGGGATCCACATCTTCGAGTTCTACCATTACCACCAACTCCAACTCGACATCAACGACAGCTGCTGACAACACTACCACATCTTCGAGTTCTTCCACCATTATCACCAACTCCAACTCGACATCAACGACAGCTACTGACAACACTACCACATCTTCAACTTCTTCCACCATTACCACTAACTCCAACTCGACGTCAACCACGGTCACTGACAACACTACTACTGACTCCACGGACGTCACAACCACCTCATCGGTAACAGCGCCGACACCACCACTTCCTCCACATCCACCTCCACACAAGCGGCATTCACCGGCCCGCCCCGCTACATAACCCAATACAACAACTACACACTCCAGGGCTGCTGGACTGAAGCCACTAAGGGCCACGCGCTCAAGTCCAAATCCCTCTCGATAGCGAATATGACAGTGGACATGTGCTGGGGCATGTGCAACCAGTACCAATTTTTCGGCCTGGAGTACTCGAAGGAGTGCTGCTGCGGGGATGCGCTCCAGCCCGGATCGGAGAATAGCACTTCTGGCGCCCTGTGCAATTTGAAGTGCGGCGGGAATTCCACCATCTATTGCGGTGGTAGGTCCAGGTTGAATTTGTACCAGTTCAATGCTACTTTGCAGAATTCTTCGAGGGTGCTTGTGGGGTTTGAGTTGCCGCTTGCGCCTTAGGTCGGATTGTTTATTTTATTTCGTCTGTTGGTTTATATATTTACTTAATTTGTCATATCTCGGATATGTACCAGCGGGGGGGAAGAGTAGATTTGGTCTCTGTTTTGGTCATTGATGGTGTAATAGCGTTTATGAACGGGATATAAAATGATAATGTTTTATTATTCATTCCTACTCCGCACGGTTTTACGTGGATTGACGAGTGAGGATATGAGTACTTTCCATTAAAGTATAGAGTAGCGGCCGTGACACGGGCTCGAGTTGATTCACATTCTAAGAATCAACCTTCGTAAAACACTTCAATCCCCACCTCGAAAGATAAAACCTGTGACGTCGTTCAGCGCGCTTGTTCCCAAACAAGCAAATGGTTGGATGGAACCGCCTTGGAGCTGTGAGTGATATTGCATGATTCATCTTCGACCCCTCGGTTGCTTCCGTTTGCACATCTTCCCACTCATCAAGCCATTCCCGCTGCGTCGCCACCCACCCAGACAAGTAGTTTTAATTGATCGATTGAATATATGTTGAGGGGTCGGTCGGGTCCCCCCCATCTAATCCGTGCAGACTCGCAGATAGGTTATCGATGGGGACCCGGTACGGTAACTACTCCTCTACACAGCTGGAAATAGTCCCGCGCTGTGCCGGGGCCACTTCCCCCATCCGGAGCAGTATCATATAAATCGCTGACACGCGGGAGGGGCCGTGGTGGAAAGTCTCTTCTTTACTTTTTCATTTTCATTTACTTTTTTTTTTTTTTCCACCCTGGAAGAAAGAACAGGGATTAGTCCTCAACTCTCACGATTTCGAGTGTATGTGTTTGGGGTACGGCGGTCTGGGGGATTACTCCAACGCCCATGCAAACTGCAAGATCCCCCTTTCCCGGAGGGGGGAGATTATACGCCGACATGAGTATTGGATGGAATGGATGCCTTACGGGGGGGGGGGGGGTGGAATATCCATCCCAGCTTTATATTTATATTGTACAGCGCGCTTGGGTCGTTCAATGGGTTTTTGAAAGTTGGAGGGTGGGATGCTGGATAAAAACTCGGAAAGCTCACTACGGGTCTGTGGGCGCGGGGAAGGGTGTCGGGCATTGAGGCATGCACGGGCGGTCGAAAGGGACGGGGAAAGGATAACATAGTTGTCGGAGCGTAGTTTGGTGAAGCGACCCAAGGAGACAGAACTGGGCGTGGGTCGCAGAGAATGCGTCGTCGTGGGCTGGGTACAGTACTGCCGTCTGAAGCCGTACGCTACGTGGGTGATCTGGATCTGCGACTATGATCGAGGGGTTTGGCTGCACGGCGGGGTTTTCGAGTTTGTGATTAACGGTATCGCGCTCGTGTAATGGGAGTTTGTTGGGCTGTTGGATGGCTTCCTACTGGGTTGATTTTCCTTGGTGAGCAGGGCTAAAACTATGGACAACCTCCCGGCCACCTTCGAGCGCGCACGTGGAGGGAAGTGACATGTGGGAATGAATGACTTTCATTGAACCGATTCGAAACTAATTGCTACTATACCCTAGAGACTTAGTGAATAACTTTTATATCGCGGTTTACTGGTGTCGGGAATGATTGAAATTTATATTTTCTTGCCTATACTTGTATCTAAATAGCCCTCACGTTGGCGCTTGAGGGGAGAGGGGGAAATAAAAGGAATTGTAGAAAAAATAAAAGAAGGAAGAAATGCGTAAGGAGGATATACGACAAGAAAACAGCGGAAAAAAGTAAATGATAATAATATTATGATGGAAATTGCAAGACACCCGCTCATCTCAATATAAGGAAGATTACCCCCCCATCGACGCCAAACTCTAGATTATAAACAAAAACAGGAAAATCCCGACCTAACTACATAGGAGTTCAGTGAGAGGTTTGGAGGGTGGGTGGTAGATATGTCTGAGAAAATACTTGAGCTGAGTTACTGTGACAGAACTGCTACACCAGGAAAGGAAAGACGGCAATTAGAACAATGGGGAACTTGAAAAAGCCGAAGAGACTGGGCGGGGGTGAGGATGTTGGGGGTCGCTAGATACTGCCCGGTATTCTCTACTCATAGTCTCATTGTTATTTAGCAAATGTTTCAGCAATTCTTGGTTGATGGATTCGTGGGGCACAATGCTCCATCGTGTTGGGTGTGGGAGGGTCAAATAGGACTGCATGGAGGCTATGAAGAATATGGCAGAGCATGCTCGGGCATTAGGATACTAGAAATTGAAAAGTTCTGGAGAGTGGAACCCTTTCTCCTAGAGATGTTTTACCCCCCTCTGCTATTAGGGGAGTATGATACACGAGGGAATTGGAAAATGTACGGAGAGCGGAGATCCATAGAAGAAATTGGATGATTTCACTATTTTTTATATAATCCACTAGATTTACCATTAGTCTAGATAGACAAGACGTTAGCGAACAGCTCCCAACTCGCCCAAATCTGTGCTTTCAGAACCGTGTTTGGTTGCATTTTGTGTAAAAGAGAGAAGGAAGGCAGGCGGTGGTGGGGGCAAAGATTTCTGTAAGGATGTTGGGGTCCTTGCGGAGATGGCACAAAAGTGATTCGTATCCAAAGACGGTAGGGGGGGTGATGCCTCCTCAGCCTTAGGCCATGCTGAGGGCGGCAGATGCTGGGGGCTGTAGTAGAGCTATCACTCCCGCAAGACCACGCTCAGCGGCCCACCAGAGCGGTGTTCGGCTTAATTTGTCCGCGGAGTCAGGGCTGATGTCGTCCCGTCCGAGGAGTATTTTAACTACTTCCTCGTGCCCACTCCAAGCAGCACGATGAAGTGGTGTTTCGCCGTTGTGATCTGGTTTGTCGGGGCTGACGTCGTTTCGTCCGAGCAGTACTTTCACTAGCCCTATGTGTCCATTCACAACAGCACAACTGATTGGTGTTTGCCCGTGCTTATTGGGTTTGTCAGGGTGAAAATCATCTCATCCGAGCAGTGTTTTCACCACACCTTCGTGCCCGTTCTGGGTGGCACAATAGAGTGGTGTTTCACCGCCCGCATCGGGGTTGTTGGGATTGACGTCGTCGTGCTGAAGTAGGATTTTCACCATGCCTTCATTGCCGTTCCGAGCAGCACAATAGAGTGGCGTCTGTCAGTACTCATCTTGTTTGCCGGGGCTGACATTGTCGCACCCGAGAAGTGCTTTCACCAGCCCTGCGTACCCGTCTTGGGCGGCCCACAAGAATGGCGTTCGGCCGCCGCTGCCCGGCTGGTCGGGGTTAACCTCGCCCCGCGCGAGGAGTGATTTCACCACCCCTTGGTGTCCATTGTAAGCAGCGCCGCTGAGTGGTGTTTGGCCGTTGTTGTCAGGCTGGTCGGGGTTGATGTCCCGTCCGAGAAGCATTTTCACCACGCCTTCGTGCCCATTCTGAGCAGCCCACCAAAATGGCGTTCGGCCGTCGCTATCTGGCTGGTCGGGGTTGGCATCGACCAGTGCGAGTAGCATTTTCACTACTCCCTCGTGCCCGTTATAAGCGGTAGCATGGAGTGGCGTTCGGCCGTCTTAATCCGGTTGGTTAGAGTTGACGCCGTGTCTCTCGAGCAGTATTTTCACTACTCCCTCGCGTCCACTGTAAGCAGCGCCGCTGAGTGGTGTTTGGCCGTTGTTGTCAGGCTGGTCGGGGTTGATGTCCCGTCCGAGAAGCATTTTCACCACGCCTTCGTGCCCATTCTGAGCAGCCCACCAAAATGGCGTTCGGCCGTCGCTATCTGGCTGGTTGGGGTTGACATCGTCTCGTCCGAGCAGTGTTTTGACCAGTCCCTCATGCCCGTTCCGAGTAGCCTACATAAGAGGTGTATTGCCCGTGCAGTCTTGTTGGTCGATCTTGCAGCCTTCCACCTCTACCAAACTAGCTACAATCTCAGCAATCCCGAAGACGGATGCACAGTGTAGGCCACTGAACAGGGAGGGTTTATCGAAACCAACAGTGCATAAATGCGGCTTCCATGTTCTCAAGAGGATTTTAGTGGATAGGTGGTTATCATAGTCGCTAAATAGCTTTAATGCGAGCATTTTCGCGCGATCTGAAAGGTCCTTTTTTGCGTGTACCCACCAATATAGAGAAGAATACCCAAGAAAGGGTGTGTCTTGGAAGTCGGGAGAGGGACTTGTCGAAAGGACCTTGACCTGCTGCGAATTTAGATAACTTAAGCAAGTTTCTGCCATTGTCGAGTGAGGTGTGCCAAAAAACTCCGGATGATCCCGGAGGTGCTCATGAAGGGTAATATGGATTAAGCGAACCGTGGAAGACTCCTTGTCTACCACAACAAGTCCTTGACAACAGGCTAGTAATGTCCCTATTGAAGGAACATTATCGGTATTCAGATTCGGTGACCCTATTTCAACAGCTAGGGCATGACATAGTTCATCGGCCTTCAAGGGCCGCCCCGAGTGAGGAATCCACATCACCGCAGCCATGCCGAGCTTCCCTTTCTCCCCACCCTGTCCCCTTATCCGATCCAGCGTTGCGGCATAAGCATCCCCCAATCCTAACCCATCGGCCATTGCACCGAGCTTTTCCCGCCTACGGTGGATGGTGGTTTCTTGTAGGACCGCATCGATACCCAGCGAGACTAATAGGAATCTACATAATAATATTATATAGCTATTAGCTGATAACACAAGGCGGCTTTACTAGTGTCATTCCTTCTACTCACGTTTCAGAGATATCTTTGGGAATTTTCTTCAGGATTTCGGCCTCCAGGCTACTGTTCATTGCATCTGGGGTTGTGTCCTCCTCTAGCCTGGTATGAAGATATCTGATAATGACATCTCTCCTGGGAGTGATGGATATACTCGCTACTCTTCCAGAAAGACGTTTCCCAATTTCAGCCCTAATGTGTTGTCTTCCCGTCATGAATATTCGGGTGCCCGGAGAATTTTGCAGAATTTTATTTAGCGAATCAAGAAGCTTGATCCGATATTCGGCTGCACATTCGTCGAGAGCGTCGATGCATATGAATGTACGCTTTTCGGAAGAGGTGGTCTGTAGCATTTTCA